TTATTGTTCCACATTTATAATACATTAAAATATTATTGTAAACGTAAAAACAAAATTTATATCACCAGAATTAATAATTTTTTATAAAATAAAAAATTAAACATGTAATTAAAAAACCTGAGTAGAAGAAGAGTGATCAGTAAACGTCGGCTTCGTCTTCATAACAGAGAAGATAATGAAGGGAAAGAAGAAACGAGGAAAAAAGAAACGAATCATAAATTATCAATGACGATTGTTGTTACCGCTTGTTGCTAAGTTAAATCCATTACTAATCGATTAAAATTTATGTCCCCTAATCTGAGCAAGAGGATTCTCCATCGAATCGTATACAATCGATTATACAATATCGTCGCGCTTCACGATGAGCTGCAGCAAAAAGGGGGAAAGTCACGACCCGTGCGCCGATGCACGAGCCAGCAAGAACTCAACCGATTATCTAATGTCGTGCCACCTAAGTAAGTATATTCACTGTGAGCAGAGGATCCCGTGGGTGGGGAAACATCTTAACGAAACCTGATCAACGGAAATTTCACTGAAAGTATGCACGAACGAAAGTAACAGGAATAGGAAAGAACGTGATCGATTTCGGTGCCATTTTTCTTATCTTCTACGGTTGCGATCGCGGCGCGTACATCGAGTCGTAATGATACATAAATCATGTGGTTTACGATTGTCACCTGTACACGATGAACACACGGTGTATTACATAAACAAGTTTATTACGATGCATTTTGTACAAAAAGAACAATATAGGCTATATAAGATTAGAGATATAAAATAAAAAAGTGACAAAGTAAGGTCGATCAAAATTTAACCATGGTCGAAAGTAGTCAAAAACCATTTTCGCTATCGATAATGGTTACAAGAAAGAAGTTTAATCATCTATGACGGTATGATAACATACTTTTAAATGTTTAAAAGAATAAATGTTATGTAAAGAATTTTTCTAAATTTCGAAAGAAGATAAAAGTAAAATTAGTGTCCTTTTGGAGTTAGAAGTTGTACATACTTCCTGAATATTGGAGAATGAAAAATGCCACAAAGAGGAACCTGTCTACGAATGTTTGACAAAAATCAATTATGCTATTTTGTTTAAAGATAGGCACAGTTGCTTAATCCGTTGATAAATTTCGTTTTCTCTTTTCCGCGATAGCTTAATAACTTTGAAAGCGACATTTGGTAGACGATAGCCGAGCATCACTATAACCAATATTTCACTCTTCTGTATTTTAATGACATTAGGAACATTATTTATGGCGTAATGAAGTATGTCTTAAATAAGAATCTGCATTTCAATTTTGTACAATTTAGATTGAAATTTATATCGCCTTAGTTATTATAACAATTTCTACTTCGCGACCTGATTATTTTTTTTAACAACAGAATTTTTGTATGATAAATTTATTTCATTTTGTATGATGAATTTATCGAAATAGAACATAGAAGATAATAGATAAAAAAGGAACTTGAAATTATTATTATTAAAATTCTTCTACAAAATATTTGAATCAAAAATTACAAGCGCGAAAATTTTTGAAACAAACGAATATGTTTCCCAAAAATTATAATACTTTGCTTACTATTTCTACTGAATCGCCATTATGGGTTGACGTGATTGTAAAAAAGAATATTAATTGTAATTTAAATAAACATAGCGATCCAATTGTTATTTTTACTTTAATACTTTAACTATTATTTTAAGTAATTTCACACCTAACGTTTATTTTTTGTAAACACTTTCATTCAAAAATAAAGTAGCAAGTTAATTCTCTCGCATCAATTCTTGTCTAAACAAATACAGAAGCGATTTTACTCTGCCACAAGAAGAATTTTGAATGTCAGGTTTTCAAATACATGACTCGACGAAATTGTACAAGTGCCATTGCCAACAAAAGAATCGATTATGTCAAATCACTCATTGTCAGAATGAAAACGGAAATATCAATCCTTTCGTATCCCTTCAAAGACTATCTTCAAAGGCTCTTGTAAAAATCCAGAGCATTAAAGTTCAATCTATACGCATCTAAAACTCTAAATCAATAGCTAACAATCTACTCAGACATGAACTCTTATAAAATGGTTTTCATAATAAATATGTATTTTACCTACAAATTTGTAATTTTGTCAATCTAAATATTTAGAATAAATACAATAGTACCTCGTCCTTATTTTTTCCTTAACGCTATTTATAAAAGTTATTTCATATTATATATTTCTTTTTATTTACAATATATATACATATATTAAAAAAATAGAAATACCATATATATAAATATAAATAAAACAAACATCATTCGAGCTTTAAATTAAAAGTTTCATTTAACTTTTTTTATTTTGTTTAAACCTGTAATATAGGATTTCACGGCAATCTTTTTGCAAAAGTCTAGACAAGAATACTAGAAGTCTTGCAATCGATAATGGGCAAAGAACGTCGAGTACGCAAACGTAACTACATGGGAATCTCATGAAACGAGCCTGCCTTCTTTATTACACGCGTCGTTTGCCATTCTACGTAGCTTTCGATCAATTACAAGGATATAAAATCCCAAGGAAGAAAAAGAGGCCTGAAGAAAAAAGAAAAAAGAAAGAAAGAATCGTGACACAGAGAACATAGATCTTCTCGCGACCAGGACTCATCTTCTTCCCTTTCCACGTCGTCTCGTTCCTCTTCTGCAACGATGCCTTGCTCTTTTGAGCATTAGCATAAACCTTATGCCATAAACGGCCTCCGACGCTTACGTAACACCCACTGACTTTCTTTTCGAACTTCCATACGTACCTTCTTTCTTCTCTTTGATCCCTTGTTTTGTTTTTTTAGAGAAATTAGAGAACGAAGGACGTCTTTGTTCTGCTTTTGTAATGTTCCACAGGAAAGAATGAGTAACTTAGAGCAACAGCAAGGTCGATTTGACGTAATCCTATACGAGACGCCTCCCCGCGATCTTTATTTTTAATCCTTGTGGATTTGAATATATTTGCAAGATTTATAAACGAGTATCGTCCGTGAAAACGAGATGTCATCGGTGGTTCCATCAAGCGATTTACGCCACGATTGCGAAACGCTACTGGAGGAAAGAATGAATCTGAAAAACCGCAAAAAAATCCCAACGGTAGTTATCTAATTCCGATCTGTCGTCAGAGAGCTAAAGTTTCGTAAAATATGTATTTTAATGTGGTATTGGATTTACTAGTAACGGCACTAATAACGTTACTAATAACTTCGATAAAGCGAAAATATTATATCGTTGCGTAATGTATGTCGCTTTTCGCTAAAATTTTTTTAAAATTATTTTAATATCATAAAACGTTCGACGTTTATAATGTTTATAATTTAAAAATCTGAATAATCTTTCGTTGTAATAATTGATAATTAAGTAATAGTTTGAATCACGGGTTGGCGATTAATAATGAATATGTATAATATCTGATTAACCGCTAATTTTAAACGATTATGTCAATCGTGATTTCTGAAGAACAATATTAAGTAACGATGAATTATTACGTAATAATAAAAATTGTCAAGATATAACAAAATATGAACACGAGAAAATGTATGTGTATGATAAATATAATATTACTGCTTAATTTAAGCTACACCTAAAGCTAAACAGTGACTTTCCATTCTTCATTAAGAGATTGTTACGAAAAAATATCGCACGGAAGCGCTGCATAAAGTGAACGTTTTGAACGTAAGCATAATTTGTTCGCCGCAATTAACCCTACCGTGTCATGGTAACGTAAAAATTGCCGATAAAATCAGACATTATGCTTCTGATCGGTTATGTTTGTTAGAGAAGATCGAACGTGACTTTTACTGAATATCGGGATTCACCTTTCGGAGAGATGAATACTAGTTTGCGTGACCTCCGAATATTATAGCTCCGATCGACGATCAATTTGTGAAAAATGTAAACGACGGTGAATGCTGAAGATCCATGTGTTGTAACGACAGACTAAATCTAATTTGGGATGAATTATGCTGATACAACCACGCTCTTGATCGTTTTTACTAATACATGCTTTCATTAAGAAGAGGCTCGATCGATTATCTACACTAATATTATAATATTTCAATTTTGCATTTTCTGTAAATCCGTAAAAAGGAATGCGCAGTTAAATTATAAGAATAATCATATATTATTGTAACATACTAATAGTTTTGTTTTAATTTGTTTTAATTATTCGTTATTAAATGCAGTTTAATTGAATTTGTATGAGTGTACTGATCGAATCAGTGCATCTTTGTCAATGGATGAAGACAATGAATGAAGAATGCAGATGAAATGATACGAAAATACTTTTAACACTGAATTTGAAACACTGAGTGCATCGAAAAAGATTCCGCTTATAAAGATTAGAATAATTTACAATATTTTAATTTTCCCAGCGTGAAAAGATTTCTTTATAAATATTTCTACAGCATCATACGTTGTTATATTAGTACCATAATCTACTATTTCACTTTTCCCTAAAAGAAACGAGAATAGTATCCTCTGCGACTAAATAAATTTCTCTGCTATAACAATTTACAGTATTTTAATTCTACCTGCATAAAAAGTTTCTCTCCCTTTGTAAACATTCTCAGAACATTGCATCTTATTGCGATAATACAGAAATGTATTTCTCAACGTTTTCTCAAAATAACCATCACTTGCATCTCCATAAATTCATATCCTCTTAAATAATCTTCTTCTTTGTTCAGCTAGCCTGAAACGGTAATACCAAGCCCTATACACTTCTGGAAGGATTTTCTGACGCCGATCGCATCCATTGTTCCATCCAAGTTTGGTAAGACGAGGATCCGTACAGGATCCACGGTGAAACCACGTGCGATTTTCGCTGCTGGCTGCTCTTCCTCGAATTCTTGTCTGACATTCACCGCCTCTTCCTTTGTCGGTCATCGTTCTACCACCGCCAGTCGGCCAATGCCATTCGGTGATTTCGACATCTTCGCCGAAGAATTTTGGGAGTCGGTTACTTGGAAGGGGTAAAATTCATCTCGAAATCCGACTATATAACGGTCCTCTGGATCATGATTGAATCAGTATCGTAATCTAACTCATCTCAGGTTAACACCTGTGCATCGTCTTTGACAATCTAAAGAAGTTCAATCCAAACCAAAACAACCAATCATGAAACTGGTGCGTGTTTCCTTCGAGTATTAAGCGAAATTTCTTATCGGACGTCAAAAGTGTATCGTCGTGGTTTCATTCGTATTTCATCTTCTTTATTTCATATATAATTACAATTTATAAAAATGAAAATAATAAAAATGGAAGCTTCGTTTGCTTCCATTAGTGGATTTTTATTCTTGAAATGGAAAATGATCATTCGTAAGAGATCGCCGATGATCTAGCGATTACGAGCGTGCAATTAACGCGCACAGGATCGTTATGTACCATTAACGATAGAGCGATACTGCATCCAGCAATTTACGTTTAGTATCGTTTTTCTCTTGCCTATTGTTAACATGCAAATATGTTTGTAGAATTATTTTAAGTAAATCACCGGTAACGGATCTCCTTGCATAACATGTGCGTTCTTGCCACCGGAAGGCAGTGACGAATCACGCGGGATAATTAAACAGGCGCTTGAAATAAAACAACGAGATAACATAGTGTTTACAGACGAAAAGCCAGTAATACTTCGTTGCGATTCACGGTTTAATGATTGATTTTAAAACGATCCAAAAGACTTTTAAAATAATCCTCAGTTTTTGCCAGATCGGCTACTAAATATCTTCTTAAGTCTATTATTTCGATCCACGATTCGATAATTGACGTTAAAACAATTCAAAAGATTCTTTAGATGATTTTTACACTACTTTTACCATGGCATATTCAATAATCAATTTCAAAACAATTCTAAAGGAGTTCGAAAATAATTTGTATCATCTTTCTCTGTACTTTTATTATCGGGTTCTTCATCTACATGAATCTTTATGGATTCAACAGAACGTATTCGTTTACGTTTTAAGTGTATCGATATTCAATTTCATATCAAATGTTAGTTGCTTTCTTCTTCGTTGCAGTTCGTCGCTTTCGCCTTCGCCGTTGTCGCCGTTTCCGCTGCTCCTCAAGTTCGTCATGAAGACGTACTGGTCCTCAAGGAGACACCCTCTGACAATATTGGCTTGGGCAGTTACAACTATGGCTACGAACTTTCCAATGGACAAGCTCATCAGGAATCCGCCGAATTGGTTAACGTAGGAACCGAAAACGAATCTTTGGCTGTTCGTGGAAGCTTCAGCTGGGTAGACCCACAAACCAACGTGAAATACACCGTCAACTACGTGGCCGATGAGAATGGATTCCAGCCACAGGGCGAACATATCCCTGCTTGAGCTGTACCTTATCCTTAGTTTTAAATAAATTTTTGATTTAAATATTTTCTTGTTATATTTTCTTCCCTTTTTTCACGGTTTACCCTTTCTTGTTTCTTTTCTTGCTTAATTTTTAGATGACAGAATTTTGATTCACGTTTTAACATGACATATTTAACATTTATTGCCATTAACATTTATAACATAACATTGCGGATTTTCATGCATTTGTGGGAGATTTAAAATTTACAGAGTACATATAGTATGCAAAAATATAAAAAATGTCCATAGTAAAGTATTCGTTCTAATTTTTAATACGCAAAACGAATCTCTAAATTGTATTTCTTTAATTACAAATATCCATAGAAATGCAAACTTACGAATCTACAGTCTATTAGTTTCTAGATTACACCGACGATCATAAGTATTAGAATTTCTAGTATGCGTGAACCAAATGTGACATTTAGTACATATCAAACATTTTTTACTACCTTTATCATAGATCTGTTGTTTCAGTTACTCTATATGTCTCATGATATTAGTATTTAATGGTAGAATATTAAATAAAATACACTTTGTTAGAGATTTCCAATAAATCTGTGATTAATAAGTGACTAACTTATGGCTGATATGGTTGTATTATGTATTCTAATCAAGTATTCGTCTTTTCATGCTTAAAAAAACATATTTTCTTTTATTTATTATGTACCAAAAAGGTTCCTCAAAGAGTTGTATGGCTTTGCCATTAGCTTTTCCATAGAGCCCCAATATTGTATGTTTACTACTTCTTGAAGTATATAAGATTTGAACGCCAATTGTAGAATGCTTTAATTTGAAAATTACATCTTTTAAGAAAACTTCAAACTTTGCTTCAATATCTAATCTAATTTGATTGATTTTGGGTTAAAAGATTAGATTTTGTTGAAATGGAAGAATTGTAGATATAAGAAGTTTTATAGGCAGAATTAGTAATTATATAATTTCTTTTTATTTCAATTATTTAACGTCGTATCAACCAATTGTATAAGTTATCAATGACTCAAGAACAATTTATTGTACAATTTGGTATGGGTTATGTATACAATTTATTCATAGCAAGATTGTTGAATGTATCTTTTTAAAAGTATAATATTGTAATGATGTAACAGTAATGTAAATCATATACAGAGGTATGAGTTCTCTTTTATATAGGGTGTTTGTTTAAAAAAATTGTAATTTTTCTCTTTATTATATAATAATTTTATTGTGGGAATAATATTATTATTAACAATAAATAGGTTCATTTTTCAATATATTCTTTTTTCATTTAATTTATACCATTATAGTATCGTGAAATACAATAAAGTTTCTCTAATAATTGCATTTAAACATATTTAAAAAACGAAGGACATTAAATAATGTTGTAAACCAAACAATAAATTTATTGTTCCCTCGTTTTTTAAATATATTTCATCTGCTGTGTCCACACAACAAAGTAGTTCCAAATAAAAAATACAATTAAATAAGTAGAAAGCAGAGGTTCAAATAAAATATAAAATTAAACAAACTAAATCATTCGTTGGAAGAGGGAAAGGAGAATCGGCGATGGAAGGTATAGCTTTCAAAGCGATAATTTCACCTATTGACCATTACTACACGGGTTCGTAATGATGAGACACCATGAAACGATTGCGTATATTTGACAAGATGATGTCGTAACGATACGTGTTGTAAAAATAGAAAAATTATAGGATATTTAGAATCGATTTAGAAATCGATAAGCGTTGATTAGAAACCGATTATCCTTGGATTGTATATGCTATCAAGGATTTTCTTAAAGTTGTGCACATAAAAAAAAAAATACAAACTAAGTGAAATATAATTTTGGCACAATTAAAAACTATTTAGTATCTAAATACAAGAAATTTAATTTCGTTAAAATAGAAAGAATCAATAAATATGTAGAAACTCATATTGCCTTTCATTTTACATTTTATATCCAGAATCCTCCTATCCTTATAATTATAGCAACTTTTTGGACGTCTTCTTTATCCTTATGAATTATAGAAAATGTTATATTTTCTGATTGTACTTCCTAAATTATGTGAATTCATTAAAATACTTCAAACTTGTCTTGAAATGATATAAAATTGTTCGTTACACATTTTTTCTTATGGATAAAAAATTATTCCGTGGAATACGTCAGAAAAATAAACTTTTAAATAAATAATATCTTAAAAAATATTTTCATTTTTCACATATTCATGTGACAATCTAAACTAGATATTAGGTTACCTATTTGATATAATTACATACTACGTGTTCCATTAGTTTATTGAGATTTATTACATATTACAATAAACTGAATAAATTATCGATATGTTTAGATAGAATTTTACTACGTTTTCGGAAACATAAAATTATTCTGAGAACTGTCTTTTTTCTATAACTTCCTTTCATCACTTAGACTACATAGGTAATATATATAGTTTAATTCAGTTGTAGTCATCAAGCATACAAATATATTCATTATTTCTATAATTAGCCGTAACTTATTTTAAATCAGTTTTCCAAGGGAATCTTCTATAAAATCATGTAAAAAATCAAGTCGCGATCTTCGATTTCGCCAAACCAACACACTTTTACAACGAAGGCCGAGCAACCATAAGGTGCCTTTAACAGGACTAGGAAAGGTGAAAGTTGAATTTATCGTGAAACCATGCAATTTTTGGCAGAAGGAGGGCCACTATAAAATTCGAGACGTTTCTCAGTATCGACATCAGTCTTTCAATCGGGACTAACCAAACATACACATCCATCTTCAAAATGAAAACCGTAGGTATCATAGTAAATGATACAGAGATCAATTACAAGTTCAAATAGATACAAATTATTGAAAAAACCTGATTATAAAATAATTAGAAGAACATAAAATACTCAATATTCTATGTATATTGATCTTTGTCTAATTTTAATTTACTATACGTATAGCTTTCTTTTTTACATATTCTAGATACAAATAAATTTGCAATTTTTATTATTTTCATTTTTTTAATCTGTCCTACTGTAATGTCGAGATAAATTTAAAGGTAAAAATATTACAAATTTCTTTTGTATAGATATATTTGATATAGTAACACGCTAACAAAAATAATTAATTATAAATGTGTACATCAAAAATAAATTGATTATAGGCAGTTTATCAATTGTAAATTTTTATTTCCTAGCTTTGTTGGTGTATATGCTATTTAATTAATAAATATACTTTAATTTCTCTTAGATCATTGCTTTTGCCGCCTTTGTCGCTATTGCTGTAGCAGTTCCTCTACAAGAACATCAGGAAACAGTCGTCGTGAAAGAAACTCCTTCTGATAATATCGGTCTTGGCAGTTATAACTACGGTTACCAACTTTCCGACGGACAAGCTAAACAGGAATCTGCAGAATTAGTCAATGATGGATCTGATGGACAATTCCTGACAGTTCGCGGCAGCTTCTCCTTTGTCGATCCAAATACCAATGTTGCATACACTGTGAACTACGTTGCCGACAAGGATGGTTTCCATCCACAGGGAGAACATCTTCCCCATGTTTAAATGATACAAATATTTGACATATGACATTCACCAATTGCCACACTCCAAGTACCATCTACGAATTAAGGCGAAAACCACGATTACATTAGATTGATTTTGTTGTTGTTGAAATCTATATTGTACATATTTTATGTGTATCTCACCATAAAAACAATTGTACAAATGTACAATAGTACATTTCTGTTTCGTAACATACTTATGTTAATGTTTAACATGTAATATAATTATTAAACAAGCTACTTGTTTTTATATACACTCTTTTATTCATAAGTATTATATTTCCATCCTGTCTTACATATGCATGTATTTCATACATAGTGCCGATACATATATATGTGTATGTACTGATGTCAGGCCACAAAAGAGATATGAAACAAATGTGACCATTTTCGATAATGTTCTCATTAGTTACTATATATTCCTCTAAATTAAATGACGAATGAATTAAATACAATATGTATATCGTTCTCTTAAGAACCATTAAGCACAGACGTGATATTTGGAGTGCATTAACTATTAACTGATGGTGATGTGAAACTCAATGCATTTTCACGCATCTCCCCCCGCTTACATTCTTTTTTACGCATCTTTTTCCATTTATGCGTGTTTTCATACGTCTCTTCCAGTTTCTGCCTGTTTCCACACCTTTTCACTAGCTTGCTCCCGTCTCCACCAACTTCCTCCTGTCGTCGTACAGTGTCGCCCTCTTCGTCTAACACAAGACATACATCTTTCCTTGTCGCACACTGTCGCCTTTTTTGTGCAATACAGCATATTGTAATATCGTAAAGTAGTTCGAATTAGGAATCGGTTGAAAATAGAAAAACCGTGTACGTCGTCTTTCTGTGGTTTGTTTACATTTAAGAGTGCCTGCGTGACTAAAGGCACGTAGTTGGTAGTTCTTACATAGGTATGAGGGAAACAATAAACAACGTTAGAAGAAGGACGGTTTCGCTATCCAAGGCGGGACGACCGAAAGATCAGAGTGTGCGAGTCGAAAAGTGTGCGTGTTGCGAGTTAGAGGTAATTGAGTTGTCGAAGAATAGAGTCGTTAGAGGTAATCGAGTCGTCGAAGAGTAGAGTCGTGAGAATTGATAGAGTTGTTAGAGAGAGAGAGTGTGTGTGTGTTAGATTCGTTGTGACGAGAGTGGTCAAATAACTGTAAAGTTATTTGATATAGATACGAGTATTGCATTTAGTTTAGTTAAATAAATATCGTTCTCTGTCCAATTTATATTTGTATATTCAATTTAATATTAATAAATCGTAAATCGGGAAAAAGTTTCTATCTTAATGTCCACGATATTACAATATGTATCCGTTTTTGTCGTACACTAATGCGTAAGAGAAATAACTATAACTTGAAGCATGATAGGTGGCAAAACATGACTTGCTCGTAGTTAAGGAATGCAATATTGTACGATAAGCACAAACATATGCTC